GGACAGCGATTGCCAGCGGTGGAGTTCAGATTTCGTGTACACCTTTAATAAACACAGAGGTAACAAACCATCCCTTGCGCGATCGTTGCCTAATCACTTCTTGTTTTATTTCACGGGAAAACGCCGGCGGAATGCAGTGTAAAAACGTAAACAATCATTGGCTGCAGAATGAACAGGCCTAACCTTGCGTGTGCCTCCCGCTTTTCTGTCGTTCTTCCTCTCATGATCACAGATGTCAGCGCTTACGATTTAGCACGCTCTACAGACCAGGCTTTGTATCCCTGATCTACGCGAGGTAGAAGCGTTCGAGCCGTCACAATCCCGTGTAAACAACCGACGCACCCGCACAGATCCAACTCGACGGCCCGACCGGCCCGCCGACCTCTCCAACCTCGCCGCGCATGCGCACTGCTGATTTAGACGGAAATCACGTGGGCCGCTCTTTTAACTTCCGGAGAGATCTGTGAAATCCCGTAGAGCAAGTTCAGCGGGGTTTGATGCATTCCGGTGGAGCGGGCGCTGCCAGAGATCTACGAGAGGAAAAGACCAACTCGAGCCAGATCTGCGAGCGGAATATGCGCGCTCCAAATGGAGCGCTTTTGGAGCGCTCGAGATCTGCGAGCGGAATTCACCATAAGAAAACGACGGTCATGAAGAGATGTCGGAACGAACCGTGGTGTCAGGACGTCGTGTGACACCATAATGTTACGTTTCGTGGCCTGACACGCTCACGCCATGTGTCACCGTGACTTCGTGTGAAACCACTGACTTCGTGACGTCGCGGTGTCACGTGACGTCATGATTACACGTGACACCATGTCATTGTGTGACATCGCGATAATTAAACGGATTACGCTAGCCTTGTTATGCGGACGAGGATCGAGGAGTAGAAAATGTGTTGCGTATGAGCTGAGCGCAAGCTGTGAGGGTGTGTTACGTCACGGCGTCATCACACGGCGTCTTGATGTCAGGCGCCATCTCGGTGTCGCATGATATTGTGGCGTCACAGAGTCGCGCTGTGTCATGTGGCGTAAGAGTGGACGCCATGATTTTCAAATATTTAGGGATCTTACGTGTCAGACCAACGAAAGGCATCTGGCACGCCCCAGCAGAAAAGTGGGGAATTATTTCGGCAATCTTGGGATCTTTTGACATTAGAAGGCTCGGTTACAAGGAGCCTTCCCCAAGAAAAAACCCTCCGTCCAATTGCGGGCACTTCGGTTGGGATTCGAACACGCCAACGGGGGATCTGTAGGCGGTCTCTTTGCCTCGAAGCCACCGAGGCGGCTACGTAACAATTGCACGTGACACCACGGGGCCACGTTGCTTTACGGTGTTAGGGACATTATGCCGTGACTTTTTTCTTTTGCCAGGAAAAGTCTCTATTTGAGGCGAAAGGCACATTGTATCTCGAGTAGCAGCTGTGGGTATAAAGAAAAGCATGAGCTAATATTGAATTTCTTCGAAAATAGTTTTACCTCTTTATCGGCACAATGTCTCCTTGTGTATTTTTTTGAAACGCTTAAAAAGAGCCAACCATTGGGATTTATAACTGATTTACAGCAAATGACGAGGCACCGATAATGTCGAAGCACAGAAATAGGTTTTTCTTTGTGTCTATTGATTTTTCATTTCCAAATTTATTCTTATGTTGCCGTTCAGTGGCTTCTTTCGTAAGTCTTATTGATTGGTCTCCTTGGGTTCTGCGGGAAAATTGACACACAAGTATGTTCATGAAAAGTTCGACCCATCTTCATATAAATGCGGTAACTGTAAGAAACAGACGTGCTGAAGTGGAAAACAAATATATAAGTGTCGTGGCCAATCAGGAGTGGTGAACATTGCCAAATATTTCTATATCGAGGAATAACAGGATTAATACCGCCTCGGAGGCTCAAGTGTTGAATGTAAGGGTCTCTTAAAAGGATCACTGCAGGTCCCGCTTCCTTCAAAAGACCCATGAAGCACCATTTCAATTTCTTGATTGTTAAAAGAATGAAAGTGAATATAAAAGAAATCCCGTACAAGCATGCGCATAGAAACAGTTTAAAAGATATAGATGTATACAATCCGAAAACCTCTTTCTCCAGAATACATTCATACATAACATTGTACTTCTTGACGCGAAAGAGGTTAGTCAGGTCAGAAACCCAAATATGAGTAAGGCAGACTGCTACAATGAGGTTACAGCATCAAGAACAAGTGTTCAGTATGCGTGGTCGCTAAACTACACAGGGTAGTTTAAGTTGCAATCAAACACGGGTGTCGGGGTGAGTATTTCTATTTTCCTAAAACAATTACATGGTTTGGCCCCTATATCGCGATGAACAAAACCATACCTTAAGACTTCTTTTCCCACAAAAATTGTGAACAGCAACAAGGTGATATTCTACGTATACGCTGCTTGATTTTCGTACCCAGTTCTGACAGTTGTTATTAATAGTTAAAAATAAAAAAAAACGTAGCATTTTTTGTTAATTTATGACGCATTGCTATTTTTTCCTTTAAACTAAACTGCTTCGGCATATAACATGCCAAACTTGGCGTCTCTCACGTCTTCGAGGCATATTTGGAGCCTCGTATATTAGGAATCCTTAAACATTTTGCTTATTATATATTACATGCCTGTAGGCCTGCATATATGCTCTCGGCTGATATCTCTCTAGTTTAATTTATTGTCACGCAATATTATATTAAGTTTTAAATGTCCCCAAAGACTAAATTTAGCCACAACTTCAGTCCTCGTTATTAAAAGACAATTCCGTATTCCTTTCTTACATCTTTATATTGTTGCGAGTTATGTTAACTTTTGGTTCTGTGCCCATAATTAAAGTTCCTCCTTTTTTGTATGTTTAGTAGAAATGCTCAAACACAGAGAGATGATTACGAATCGCCAAAAGGGCCGTTTCGCCAGTTCGCTTTATTGAAATGCCTTTTAGCATTAAAATGCCAAGGGCAAATGGGTCGGAAGCATTTGGGCGGTGAAAGGACGACGTAAAATGGCAGTTGAGAGGGGAAAGGGGAGAGAGTTGAGTAAAGGCCAGTGGCAATGCATGTTTCTTTTTTTCTTTTAACAAGGCGGGAGAAAGAAAGAGGGAGGTGGGATTTTAATTAGGACACTCATGTCGATCTTCATATTTTTCTTTCTGTCAGTGAGAATATATAGTATTTTTTACATCTCATCTCGTCAGTATTTCTCTGCTGTTAAAAGTGTCAAAAGTGCCAGGTTTGTTTTTTAATCGATATATACATGTATTTATATCTCAGCCTACCCAACGGCTTGGGTATGATTCAGTTCAAAATAAAATTAACGTGGGCGAATACATAACGTTTTAACTTGCTACTACACCTGACAATTGCACCCACTTATGTTCACTTACCAGCCACGCAAGTTTTAGTTTTGTTTTGCCTCGATTTGTTATAGACTGGGATGGGCTTTCTCGCGATATTTCTAACCAAGATTCTGCTGGTGCATTAGTTTCTGCTTTGTTTTCTATTTCATTTTTTAACTATTTTGTATTTTGACATATTTTTCTTTTGTCTGTATTTCCACTTTGCGACGATTCATCTGATGAAATTAGCATCATTTCAAATATATAAAAAAATAATTAAAACAATACCACGAGCTCTGCAAACAAGTCTTTGCGTGTCCACTGCTCCAGTTTTTTTTTATATTTTATATTGTTTGTGATGAGCTTTTTCATGTCTCTCGTTCAAAAGATTTGATTAAGTCTACTTACGGTGCTCGACATAAAAATAAGAGAAATCGAAATGAACGTTTTCGCTTTGTAAAAAACACCTCGACGACAATCTGCTGAGGTTTACTTGCACGCCTGGCTGAAAACTACGCGTGCTGCGTTAGTAGGTTGAACTCAAGTCTGTGACCAAGTGTTAATATTTAAACATGATACGATCAGGTACGTTACGAATCTTCGGTGGTGGACTCAACACGGCTCCGAGGATATTCCTGTCAGCTTATTTCCTTCAGAAAACCTTCCGTGATTCTTTCTGAAAATGAGGCTGCGTTCCTCCAGTCAAGAATAAATTACGTTGCCTAGTGTGCTTTTACTCACAATGACGTGATGCTTGGATGGCAAATGTGTTCATATGTGCGTTGAAAAACAGATTACCATACTTTGCTCCCATTTTTTGGGCACTTGTTTGTCGAATGGACTTGAGTTGCTATAATTAGTTTCGCCTAGACGCGGCCGAGCCCACGAGCTGATGGCACCAATCACGCAGCGTCAAAATTGCACCATCAGATTTCCATGTTCTTTTTTATAGCCTCCTCTATACTCACAAAGCCTGGCAGCTCGACAACGGAGCCGTAGAGTGCCAGGTCGCAGATTTAAAGAGCGAGGATCTGGTAGCATAGAGCATCAAAGAGCCATTTCTCGGGGAACCTGGACGTCAGCGCACAGCTTTTGCAGTGGCGAGGACCCGAAACACACTTTTTCACTCGAGAGAACTGTGTTTCGGCGTCGTCACGTGGCTCTCTTCTCACCCTTTGTCTGCCACTCCACCTTTTTCATTTCGGCGCCGCTTCTCGTAGTGATCTGTCAGGCTCTGTCAGTATATAGGAGGCTATGTCTTTGTTCATCATGTTTTGTACGTGTCCTGTCATTGCTGAACCAATAATAAATAAAACAGGTCCATTGACTTGCGCCCTTGACGCCGGTTGATTGGACTTATTGGCTGGTAGCGTCGGCTGCGTCTGGACCTAAGCCGAAACGAAGTATAGTACCGCTTTTTCCACTCGTATTTATATATTGTCTTCGCCCGCGCTTACTGAGCTGTTTATTTCCACCATGTGCAACATTTACCTACTGGTCTGAATTTTGGACCCTAGTAGAGTTACACAAAGCCCTCCGAATCTGCGCTATCTTTGAGTCGCAGAGTGAGGCTGGATGAAGTTCCGAATTCTGCACTGGCTCTGCATATTTGCGTGTGCAAAGTTCGACTCGTGCCGACTTGGTAAGTTCTCTCAGATCACTGATCGGTAGAAGCGGTCGAAGAGGACGTCGTCGTCCTCCATCTTCCTGAGAATCCTGTCCCACTCCTGAGGCTGCAACGAGGCCATGCCGTAAGCGCGCTTGGCCGAGTACTCCGCTTTCCAGACGGGCTCGGCTTCGGGGCTGGCGTTGGCCTCCGTCAAGTTCATGATGTACGTTTCGTGGTCCAGCACCATCTGCGGGAAAGTCTCGGATAAGCGCTGCCTTTCCACTCAACGCTCACGTCCTCGGTGAGCTGACTGTTTTTTGTTTTCTATATGTTCGCGCAATAGAGATAGCTTAGAGTTTAGCTTTGAATGTACGCGAATCCTATTTATCTTTAGAGACACGTTTGACTTATACAACGTATTTTTAAGCAATAATCGCGTATCGCAGCCACGAGGAACCATGCATGCACCGCGAGTTCAAAAGGCGCGAGTTGCTCTATTAATTTCTGAAATTGACGCATGGGACATTCTATGCACTGTATGGCTGTGAGGTAGGCAGGTTATTTTGTTTTTAACATAAGCTATTTTACAATAAAGTTCGCTAATATAGGCACTTTAGGTCTCACCCTCTCCCAGCTGCACGGGAAACAAGAACAGCGACTGAAACCCCCAATGCCGCTTGCTTTTGTGAACCGCAGTCTGATTCTATACGCCGTGCTAAGTGGCTTCAATGTAGAATGGGTACAGATGAACCGTGACTTTAGTCGAGGTAGATAAACAGCTAGTAGCACGCCGAATCGTCACAAATTATGGACACCAAAAACACAAACAAATACTACGGAAAAGCTGTACTCGCAACGTACATAGAAGAGTTGCAAATATCGCAAAAGCATCATGTACGCTCGTCATTGCTCCCGCAACGTCTAGCATGTGGAATGTACGATGCTGCACGACCATCCGAGAAGTTTGTTAGAACACTAGTACTTACCCACGTGCTGTTGGGATAGTTTCCATCGATAGTGTACACACGGAAGGCTGGATGCCCCGAATTGAAAGTGGTGACGCTGGGTGCCAGGTACGCCACGCCTATGGCCCGCTTGGCGTCTGTCGGGTCGTAGAAGAGCTCGAGTTCGTCCATGTGTGTGTGTCCGAAGAACTGGCCGCGAACGGTGTCCTCGAACCTGCGGTCCGAATACCAACAAAGTTTATTCAAGAACCGCATGCAACAATTTTTTTTCGGGCCAGCAAGAACAAAAACAAAAAAACATAAAAAAAAAACAGTCGTGCTTGTGGGCGGAACATGGTATTCAGCAAATGCAGTGAGAAGTTGCAGCTCGAAAACTGGAAGCAAGGAAAATATTAAAAAATCAACATAATATTTAAGCAATCTATGTCCCAGCTCCATGTTTTTAAACCTCGTTTTACCCTCAAGTGATAAATTTTAAACAACGGATTGGCAATGTATTTTATAACATGGCACGAAGTACGCGCGAACCTATCTCCCGTAATTTGTATACATTTCTGGCATAAAGACTCGCTCCCGTTATCTGTCAATTTTTTTTAAGGAGACAAATAAACTATTTAATAATGTTTTACTCTGTGGACATCGCACGTCTAGTTTCGGTTTCGCCACACGTTTAGTTTCGGTTTCGCCTCCGGCGTCTGGCAACTAGAGCCTGCTGAGGTATGCCGCCGGAGGGCGCGGGCGTTTGAGTAAACAGTTTCGAGTTACACTCTCGGGATCGGAGAGACACGCCCGCACCGGGGCCAGCGCGCTCATGTATTGCTGTACCTTGTGTAGTCAAGTATAATAAATAGTTTTATGTACCGGACATCTCCACTACATAATTGGTGACCCGGAGTTCCGGACACACACCTCGGTCACACGACCCCAAGCAACCACCGGTGAGCAAACATGACTTCCACCAACGGTTCCGCGGCTGACACGGCCGCCCAGGCACCGCTTTCCCCCACCGTCTCCACCGTCGCTCTCAAACTTCCGTGCTTCTGGCCGGCGGACCCAGCCCTCTGGTTTGCGCAAGTTGAAGCCCAATTTGCGACGAGACGTATAACCTCCCAACAAACGAAATTTCACCACGTAATCGCCGCCCTCAACCCAACGGAAGCGGCGGAGGTGCGCGACATCATACTCTCTCCCCCGGCCGACCAGCCATTCGACCGGCTGAAACTCGAGCTCGTCCGCCGCACCACCCTCTCCGAGCAGAAGCGCCTGCAACAGCTCCTGACTGCGGAGGACCTGGGGGACCGAAAACCGTCCCAGTTACTCCGCGGGATGCGCCAGCTGCTCGGGGAGAAAGCTTCGACGGTCGACGACTCGCTCCTTCGGCAGTTGTTTTTGCAGCGCCTACCAGCTAATGTGTGCATGGTGTTGGCGGGTGCCGGAGACATGACGCTTGACGATCTCGCTGCCCTGGCGGATAGGGTAGTGGAAGTTGCGTCACCCAGCATCTCTGCCATCGACAGCTCGGTTCAAGCGCTTCCAGCGTCAAACGAAGTAAAGAACCTGGTTTCCTTCACGGAATTCAGAGCCTTGCGCGACGAGGTCCAGCGCATCTCGCAGTCACTTGCAACCCTGGAAAAACCACGGCCGAGACGCCCTCGCTCCTTTTCTCGCCCTCGTGGGTCGTCGCGCGCGCCTGAGAGTACTGGAGTTTGCTGGTACCACCACCGCTTTGGCGACAACGTCACCAAGTGCGTCCTGCCCTGCGCTCAGCAGGGAAACACCCGGGCCACGCACTGAAAGCGGCCGGTGCCCTTGGCCTCCCGGCGCGCCGCTTTTCTCCATCTTCCACCTGCCCAACTAGCCAAAATGAGCAGCGGGGGGGAGCCTTCAATGAACAGTTCTCATAACAAAATTAATTTGAAGAGTGAACATTTGGTGCCATCCCAAACGCAAATTTAACCTGGAAAATTGCCTCACATATCAGGAGTGCCTTCTCAACCACGCCTATTTTATGTTGTGGACAAAGTATCCAAGACCCGCTTTCTGGTGGACACAGGTGCAGAGGTCAGCGCAATCCCAGCTTCCCGTGTCGATCGTCTGAGGCGCCCAAGCTACAACTTGCAAGCTGTGAATGCTACAAAAATTGCAACTTACGGCCAGCGCTCTCAGACGATGGACATCGGTCTACGCCGAACTTTTCGCTGGGTTTTCTTGGTTGCCGACGTCAGTCACGCCATCCTCGGAGCTGATTTCTTCCGCCACTTCGGTCTCCTCGTTGACATGCGCAACACCCGGCTACGAAATGCCACAACGCTCCTGTCCGTGCACGGCATCGCAGAGGCCACGGGGGCGGTGACTTCAACACTACTTCGACCGCACGTCAAGTCAGACTTCGAGGATTTGCTGCGTGAGTTTTCTTCCCTGACGTCTCCAGTGACCACTCGCCCCATAAAGCACAACATCACGCACCACATCATCACGTCGGGACCACCCGTTCATGCACGCCCTCGCCGACTACCACCTGAGCGACTGAACGTGGCTCGGCGAGAGTTCGAGCACATGCTTGAACTCGGAATCGTGCGACCGTCCTCCAGCCCATGGTCGTCCCCACTGCATATGGTCCCCAAGTCCACCCCTGGAGATTGGCGTCCTTGCGGTGACTACCGTTCCCTCAACCGAGTGACCCAACCAGACCGCTACCCTGTGCCCCACCTGCACGACTTCGTAGCCACTCTTCACGGAGCAACGGTGTTCTCTAAGGTGGACCTTGTCAAAGCCTACCACCAAATACCAGTGGAAGAAGCTGACATCGCAAAAACGGCCATCACAACGCCGTTTGGGTTGTTTGAGTACACCCGAATGCCCTTCGGACTTCGGAACGCGTCGCAGACTTTCCAGAGCTTTATCGACGAGATAACACGGGGCCTGGATTTCTGCTACGCGTATGTCGATGACATTCTCGTCGCCAGCAGTTCTGCCGAAGAACATGCAAAACATCTGCGACAACTCTTCGCTCGCCTCGAAGAATATGGTGTACTCATCAACCCACACAAATGTCAGTTTGGTGCTAGTGAAATTAATTTTCTGGGACATCGCATCAACTCCGACGGTCTTCGCCCGCTCGGGGATAAGGTGCAAGCAATTCGGGATTACCCTCAGCCACTTAACAAACGAAAACTTCGGGAATATCTGGGATTGATTAACTTCCACCGAAGATTCCTCCCAGGTTGCGCACGCACACTGCAGCCTCTGAACAATCTCCTGTCATCCCCGGGACCGAACACCGCTCCGTTGGAGTGGACGGACCAGGCCCAGGCCTCGTTCGTGCAGATCAAGGAAGACCTGGCGGCAGCTGCGCTCCTCGTCCTCCCTCAACCAGATGCAGCTACACGCCTCATGGTGGACGCATCTGATGGCGGCGTTGGCGCGGTGTTACAGCAGCTTGTTGGTGAGACTTGGCAGTCTCTGGCATTTTTCTCCAAGTCCCTGTCACCTGCGGAAACTCGCTACAGCACCTACGGACGCGAGCTGCTGGCAGTCTACATGGCGGTCAAGTACTTCCGCCACTTCTTAGAGGGACGGTCATTTCACATCATGACAGATCACAAGCCCCTGATCCACGCCTTCACCATCAAAACGGATGGGCTCTCCCCAAGAGAAGTTCGACATCTGGCGTTCATATCGGAGTTCTGCACCGACATCCGCCATGTAAAGGGAACTGAAAACACCGCAGCTGACACTCTCTCACGCGCCAACGTGGGCAGCCTTACGTCCGCTACTCCCATTGATTTTGACAAGATGGCAACGCTTCGGAAAGAAGATGAAGAGCTCAGAGATCTACGTGCTTCTTCAGCCACGCTAATTTTTCAAGACGTGCCCCTACCGGCATGCACTCAGCTCCTCACATGCGACATTTCCACTGGCACCGCGCGCCCGTTCGTGCCGAAGTCCTTTCGACGCTCAGTGTTCGACTCTCTGCATAACCTTTCCCATCCCGGAATCGGCGCCACACAAGCATTGGTGAAAGCCCGATATGTGTGGCCGGGCATGAACACGGACATTCGAGATTGGGCTCGCTCATGCACCCAGTGTCAACGCTCTAAAGTGCAGCGTCACACTGTTTCTCCGCTCTCTCCATTCCTGCCGTCCGATGCCCGGTTCAGCGAGGTTCACATTGAGATTGTGGGACCTCTGCCACCCTCACAAGACTGTTCCTACATACTCACTTGTGTGGATCGCTTCACCCGCTGGCCGGAGGCTATCCCCCTGCGAGACATGTCCGCGGAAACCGTCGCTAAGGCGTTTCTGCAGACGTGGATTGCGCGCTTTGGTACACCTTCTAAGGTCACAACCGACCGTGGTCGTCAGTTCGAATCTGCCCTCTTCAGAGAGTTCCGAACGCTCTTGGGAACACATCGGATTCGCACCACCGCCTATCACCCCGCAGCTAACGGCCTGGTCGAGCGGATGCACCGGCACATGAAGGCATCAATCACCGCTTACGGCGAGCCCTCACGCTGGACCGAAGTGCTGCCACTCGTCCTCCTGGGCATGCGCACAACACTCAAGAGTGACCTGCAGTGCACCAGCGCTGAGTTGCTCTACGGCACTACCCTGCGGCTCCCCGGTCGATTTGTTGCAGCCAACGTAGACGAGCAGCTTCCAGATCCCCTCCAGTACGTGTCACGCTTACGGACAATCATGGACAGCCTCCGTCCGACACCAACCCGTGCTAAGCAGAGTCCTACCGTGTACCTGTTTAAGGAACTTGACACTTGTACCCATATATTCATGCGCCGCGATGCTGTGAGAAAACCCCTCCAGCCGCCGTACGACGGCCCGTTTAAAGTCATTCGTCGTGGTACGAAACACTACACAATCGAAGTGCGCGGACGATCAGGAGTGGTTTCGGTGGATCGACTAAAGCCGGCTCACCTCGAGCATTCAATAACCACTCCAACTAGTGCGCCGGCGAGAAATTCTGCAGACTCTCCGACGACGCGTGGTGGACGAAGGGTTCGTCAACCCGTACGATTTGTGCCGTAACAATTTGTGCATGTATTAATTTAATTTCTCAACATTTCTGGAAGGGGGAGTAGTGTGGACATCGCACGTCTAGTTTCGGTTTCGCCACACGTTTAGTTTCGGTTTCGCCTCCGGCGTCTGGCAACTAGAGCCTGCTGAGGTATGCCGCCGGAGGGCGCGGGCGTTTGAGTAAACAGTTTCGAGTTACACTTTCGGGATCGGAGAGACACGCCCGCACCGGGGCCAACGCGCTCATGTATTGCTGTACCTTGTGTAGTCAAGTATAATAAATAGTTTCATGTACCGGACATCTCCACTACAACTCAAATGTTTACCCAGCTGTGCCTTTCGCACAACAAAATATTTAATGCTCTTATTTTATCCTTTCCTAATTCATTGTCTCATATCCTACCATGCACCGCATATCGTAGGATATATGTTATTGTATAAAATATAGTACCTAACCTTTACATACTTTTTAGGATATGCCCTATTCCCAGTTATATCATGCGGGAAGATGGACTCTTCCAGCGCCAGGTGCTCCTCGCGACGCATCGACACATAAGGTGCTGTACGTAAACGGTACAAGATGCCAGATGAAACTCGAAGAAGCTCAGTGGCATTCTCCTGTGGGAACTCCAAGATAGGTGCCCATGAAAACAAATGCCCGGCTGTGGTGTTGCACGCATATATTCTAGGAATATAAAGTAGGCCATAATTTAAACGTCAGTGCCCTCTTGTGGCTTGAGAACCAGTTTCGCTTTCGACAAACTAATGACGGTCACGAAGATGTGTTTCGTCGGGCAGCGTCCCTTTGACACACCAATGGCATAAAAAATGTGTTCTTTGACTATCGCATAATTTTTTTTCATTTGTTTTAGTTTTGAGTGAGGACATAACAACTGACGAGAACAAAGCGGCCTCTAACAAGCTCCAGAATAAATGTCCGCCATAAAAAAGTTCTGGCACCCAACTCGCGAACTTGTTCGAAGAGCTTGATTGAACCACAGTCCGGAGTAATAATAATAATATTTGTGTGGTGAGTATGTTTAGACATCATGAAGTTAGTGAGCCTCAAAAGCGCCTGGTGTCTCAGCTGCAGATGACAAATTTATACAGTTCACTTCAACCGCTAGCCTCGGGTCTCTAACTTACACCACGCAGTAGTGATGCACGACAACTTGCAAGTAACATGCTCATACAGATCCACAGGCAGGGGCGGGGATTGAACTCAGGATCCCAGAGTCCTGCAGTGCGAACTCCACGCGCCTCAAGCACAGCCGCTGTATGTAATTTCTCTAGGCGCGTTGTACTGACGCCTAGAACGCAAACGCCATATTTATTTCTTTGGAACGCCGAAAAAAGACACCGCCCTTCACGATCGCATTAGGCGTTTGGTTGCGAGGCCAGCTGGCGTTGTTTTTGGTGCTGTCTCGCCAACGGCACTTTGACTTCACTTCTATGGGTCCACCTTCCAGCACAACCAAAAGAGCACATCAAATTAGAAATGCCTGGCGATCAAACAGGGAATGAAAATAGCCTCGTCCGGGCTGGGAACAAAATGCGCTATTTTTTTGCAGCCTGCATATTATTAGGCGGTAGTTTCTCTTTCCCACAGCAGCTCGGTGGGGTCGCAGTCACCGCATTCCTCTTACAGCGGTTGAACGCGATCTGGCAAGACACCTTAATTTCACCGTGTAGGCCTTCACTCATTGGGCTCCGGGGTTGAACGGGATGAATATCAATACTAGCTAGAGCTGCAGTTCTTGAGGCCGCCTGCCTGCCGAAACTTCGGCAGAACACTTCTTCGTCTTCTCAAAAAACAAATTTCTATAAACAATCCTCTACTTTTCGTAAGCATGAAGTATTTCAATCAGCGCACTACTGCTTTTTCATATGAGTGCATTGGCATACATTTGTAATCCCAGTGGTCAAAACATTTGTTCTGGATGGTTCAGGCAGTACTTAGAGGGATGGCACTGTCGCGACCCTAGGCGGTAGAAAATCTCCCATTGATTCTAAATCGAAAGCTAATACCGTAAGGAATGCCGCTGTCTAGCCCGGCCGAGAAACAGCATGGTCAACTCGCAAATGCAACCGACGCGAAAAATTAACGCAACAAAGATAACAGCCTTGCGGACGGCTGCGAACGCTTGACGCATTATCAGTCAAGCTCAGCGAGATCCAGCCATTCATTACTGCACCTAGGGTACCTCAATGTCCTTCTGTGTAGAGAGATGCCACCCTTTGCAGTATCCGATGCCGACAGCACGCGCTCACGGGGAAAATACAAAGAAATCGACGAAAACAAAATGTCGCCAAAGCACAGTCAGCGCCACAAACGCGAGCAGGGACACGCTGTTTCTCGCGCTTCTGAACAAAAAAGAAAAATAAACGTGCGGAGCAAAATGGCCAGATACCACTACCCTAAGCAAAGCGCACATGAAGGCACCCTAACTGCACCAAGAGCAGCAGCGCCGCGCATATCACCTACACGCGTAGCCTCGTGAGCTCTCCTTGCCGAGCTGCGCCAGCCTCAACACTACCATGTATTCTAGTCCACTGTAGCAGCACTGAAATCAGCGGCCCTTAGAAGCAAAAGGCGTCGGGGCACTCGCTCCTGGTGCGTGTTTCGCGCGTTCCGCAGAAATGGTTGGCAGAACGTTCGAGAAACTCGAAGTCTAAATTTGATCAAATGTCCTAGAACAGTTCACAGTAGTTTTCGGTAGGCGATGTCGAAGCGCCGCTCAGTGCTTTTTTGGCGATACAGTCTAACGCGAAGAAATGAAAACCACGCTTACCTAGAAATTATCCTGTGGTAGTTTTCGCTCCAGACCTGAAGGCAGTCGTCCATTCCAGGTGGGATGTGACCGATGATATGAACCTGCACCATTGCACAAGAGGTTAAGACTCTCACGAATGAGATCCTACATTATTTTTGTTTTCTTTCCTCGTCATGGAGTTTAGCATATCTATTCCTAGCCTACGGACACTAAGTCTCTGTACATGCTATAAATTGTAAATAACTTTTGGTTATAAACATCATTCCATAAGTGCATATTATAAGATCATTGCTATCCTCCAAAAGATAGATTTTATCGGTGCCGATTGGGCTATATCATTGCATCGTAACCGATTGAGGGGCAACCATATATAAGAATCTAAAATTCAGAGTTGGTAAGTCAGAGTAGGTATTTGTTGCATTTAAGCTTGTTCGACTTTCTTTTATATCGTTTCTGGTGTGGCACCTTCAACGTCTTTGGTTGAAAAACTATGAATAACATTCATACACGAAATAAATTCAGTAAACTCCAGTTCTTATGTTTTTGTAATAATATTTACTCTTGTGAAAGTTTTTGCATGAGTGATCGAAACCAAATCGGCGACATTTTATATTTTAACAAAATATAACGCCCGCTTGCCAGAAATAAAGTTTTAGCAGATCGTTAACCTGTTGGGGTTTTCATTCAAGCAAACGGCATTCAGGACGCCAATTCTGATGCACTCTTTGAATTGAGTGATTGGAAACACCAACGAGTGCGCCATAATCTGGTTCTGCATTTTGGCAGTTCGTTTTTAAGAAAAATTGAAGACTATTTTTCGGGTTTTATTTTCTACCTCAAATTCGGAGTTTGTCGGAGCTTTTTTTTTTTTGTAGGCCTACAAAATATTGAGTTTTCTTTGGTATACAGGGTATACCTTGGGTATAAATTTCATTCGAACATATTTTTTTTTAAGTTGGTGGGAGACAAGTTCCGCCTTTAGAGTGTACTTATCAGGCTCAGCGGACATTAGGGGACAGAAATAAATAGTCATGCTAAGTTAACTAATTAACTAAAACTTGCGTATTATTTTGAAATTATTGGTTTTAGGGTTCATGTTGGAATATCCAGTGTTGACGGCTAACACAATTAGAGTTCAAACCAATTAAAAAACATATCGGTAATGCTTTTCTAGGTAAAATCGATCAAATTACGCATTTTTTCGCTTCATCTAAAACTTTACAAAGAGGGCGCATCTAGCCTTACACACAATGACGCTTGGGAGAATGACGTAGTCATTTAGGTCACGTCGTCACTTGTGACATCGGCGCACCTACTAAGGACACGCAGCAGCGATACTGACGACATGATTTCGACGACGCCGTCAGTCTTCCACGCTCCACTGTGGGCTGGCAACGCCCTTTTTGAAGCAGTTTTTACATCAGGCGAAAGAACTCGAATATGTATCTGTTAATATCTCAAAAATCGTAAGATTTTCGCAAATAATTTTTTTTTCACTTCATTTGGGCTTCAAATATAATTTCTGTAAATATTGAAATTATAATATTACCCCTAAGAGCAATCATTAAAAAGCTACTATAGTGATTTAGTTGATTTGACAAGTCACCATGAGAATTATCCCCTCGTCTAATGTTAACCGAGCCTGATAAAGGAAAAACTGACTTAGGGTGCCTCAACACTCTAGGCCACCCTAGTCTGACTCTCATCTACCATATTTTATTTTTAGTCTGTTCGAATAAAAATTAAACACCTTGTTTAGTGTCATTGGTATAGGTAGAGGAAAGTTGAAGGCAAATGTACCGAAACAATTCTTTTATAGACGACTCAATAAAAGCCGTGTTTACATTGTATCGTCTTAATTAATTTGTCAGAACTAGGGGCATGTAGTGGAGATGTCCGGTGCATAAGACTATTTATTATACTTGACGACACAAGGTACAGCAATACATGACCGCGTTGGCCCCAGTGCGGGCGTGTCTCTCTGATCCCGAAAGTGTAACTCGAAACTGTTTACTCAAACGCCCGCGCCCTCCGGCGCCTAAGCAGGCTCTAGTTGCCAGACGCCGAAGGCGAAACTGAAACTAAACGTGTGGCGAAACTGAAACTATGCCCACACTGCTCCCCCTTCCAGAAATGTTGAAAAAATATCATAATACATGCACAAATGGTTGCGGCACGAATCGTACGGGTTGACGAACCCTTCGTCCACCACGCGTCGTCGGAGAGTCTGCAGAATTTCTCGCCGGCGCACTAGTTGGAGTGGTTATTGAATGCTCGACGTGAGCCGGCTTTAATTGATACACCGAAACCACTTCCGATCGTCCACGCACTTCGATTTTGTAGTGCTTCGTGCCACGACGAAGGACTTAAACGGGCCGTCGTACGGCGGATGGAGAGGCTTTCTCACAGCATCGCGACGCAGGAATATATGGGTACAAGTGTCAGGTTCCTTGAACCGGTACACGGGAGGACTCCCTTTAGCACGGGTTGGTGTCGGACGAAGGTAGTACTGTAAAGCAACTCAGCGCTGGTGCACTGCAGGTCGCTCTTGAGTGCTGTGCGCGTGCCCAGGAGGACCAGCGGCAGCACCTCGGTCCAGCGCGAGGGCTCGCCGTAAGCGGTGATTGATGCCTTCAGCTGCCGGTGCATCCGCTTCACCAGGCCGTTAGCTGCGGGTCGATAGGTGGTGGTGCGAGTCCGATGTGTTCCCAAGAGCGTTAGGAACTCTCTGAAGAGGGCAGACTCGAACTGGCGACCACGGTCGGTTGTGATCTTAGAAGGTGTACCAAAGCGCGCAATCCACGTCTGCTTAAACTCCTTAACGACGGTTTCCGCGGACATATCTCGCAGAAGGAAAGCCTCCGGCTAGCGGGTGAAGCGATCCACAGGAGTATGTAGGAGCAGTCTTGTGAGGGTGGCAGAGGTCCCACAATCTCAATGTGAACCTCGCTGAACCGGGCATCGGACGGCAGGAATGGAGAGAGCGGAGAAACAGTGTGACGCTGCACTTTAGAGCGTTGACACTGGGTGCATGTGCGAGCCCAATCTCGAATGTCCGTGTTCATGCCCGGCCACACATATCGGGCTTTCACCAATGCTTGTGTGGCGCGGATTCCGGGATGGGAGAGGTTATGCAGAGAGTCGAACACTGAGCGTCGAAAGAACTTCGGCACGAACGGGCGCGCGGTGCCAGTGGAAATGTCGCATGTGAGGAGCTGAGTGCACGCCGGTAGGGGCACGTCTTGAAAAATTAGCGTGGCTGAAGAAGCACGTAGATCTCTGAGCTCTTCATCTTCTTTCCGAAGCGTTGCCATCTTGTTAAAATCAATGGGAGTAGCGGACGTAAGGCTGCCCACGTTGGAGCGTGAGAGTGTGTCAGTTACGGTGTTCTCAGTCCCCTTTACATGGCGGATGTCGGTGCAGAACTCCGATATAAACGCCGGATGTCGAACTTCTCTTGGGGAGAGCCCATCTGTTTTGGTGGTGAAGGCGTGAATCAGGGGCTTGTGATCTGTCATGATGTGAAATGACCGTCCCTCTAAGAAGTGGCGGAAGTACTTGACTGCCATGTAGACTGCCAGCAGCTCACGTCCGTAGGTGCTGTAGCGAGTTTCTGAAGGTGACAGGGACTTCGAGAAAAATGCCAGAGACTGCCAAGTCTCACCAACAAACTGCTGCAACACTGCGGCAACGCCGCCATCAGATGCGTCCACCATGAGGCGTGTAGCTGCATCTGGTTGAGGGTGGGCGAGGTGCACAGCTGCCGCCAGGTCTTCCTTGATCTGCACGAACAAGGCCTGGGCCTGGTCCGTCCACTCCAACGGAGCGGTGTTTGGTCCCGGGGATGACAGAAGATTGTTCAGAGGCTGCAGTGGGCGTGCGCAACCTGGGAGGAATCTTCGGTGAAAGTTAATCAATCCCAGAAATTGCCGAAGTTTTCGTTTGTTGCCTGGCTGAGGGTAATCCAGAATTGCTTGCACCTTATCACCGAGCAGGCGAAGACCGTCGGAGTTGATGCGATGTCCCAGAAAATTAATTTCACTAGCACCAAACTGGCACTTGTCTGGGTTGATGAGTACACCATATTCTTCGAGGCGAGTGAAGAGCTGTCGCAGGTGTGTTGCATGTTCTTCGGCAGAAGTGCTGGCGACGAGAATGTCATCGACATACGCGTAGCAGAAATCCAGGCCTCGTGCTATCTCGTCGATAAACCTCTGGAAAGTCTGCGACGCGTTTCGAAGTCCGAAGGGCATCCGGGTGTACTCAAACAACCCAAACGGTGTAGTGATGGCCGTTTTTGCGATGTCAGCTTCTTCTACTGGTATTTGGTGGTAGGCTTTGACAAGGTCCACTTTAGAGAACACCGTTGCTCCGTGAAAAGTGGCTACGAAGTCGTAAAGGTGGAGCACAGGGTAGCGGACTGGTTGGGTCACTTGGTTGAGGGGGCGGTAGTCACCGCAAGGACGCCAATCTCCAGGGGTGGACTTGGGGACCATATGCAGTGGGGACGACCATCGGCTGGAGGAAGGTCGCACAATGCCGAGCTCAAGCATGTGCTCGAACTCTCGCCGAGCCACGTTCAGTCGCTCAGGTGGTAGTTGGCGAGGGCGTGCATGAACGGGTGGTCCCGACGTGATGATGTGGTGCGTGATGTTGTGCTTGATGGGGCGAGTTGTGGTCACTGGGAACGTCAGGGAAGAAAACTCACGCAGCAAATCCTCGAAGTCTTACTTGACTTGCGGTCGAAGTAGTGTCGAAGTCACCGCCCCCGTGGCTTCCGCGATGCCGTGCACGGACAGAAGCGTTGTGGCATCTTGTAGCCGGGTGTTTCGCATGTCAACGAAAAGACCGAAATGGCGGAGAAAATCAGCTCCGAGGATGGCGTGACTGACGTCGGTAACCAAGAATATTCAGCGAAACGTTCGGCGTAGACCGATGTCCATCGTCAGAGAGCGCTGGCCGTACGTTGCAATTTTCATAGCATTCACAGCTTGCAAGTTGTAGCTTGGGAGCCTCCGACGATCAACATGGGAAGCTTGGATTGCACTGACCTCTAAACCTTTGTCCACCAGAAAGCGGATCTTGGATACTTTGTCCACAACATAAAATAGGCGTGGTTGAGAAGGCACTAGTGATATGTGCGACAATTTTTCATGTTGAATTGGCGTTTGGGATGGCACCAAGTCGTCTCTCTTCAAATTAATTTTTTTATTATGGGAACTGTTCATTGAAGGCTCCCCCCGCTGCTTATTTTGGCTAGTTGGGCAGGTGCAAGATGGAGAAAAGCGGCGCCTGGATTTCAGGAGCACCGGCCGCTTTCAGTGCGTGGCCCGGGTGTTTCCCTGTTGAGCGCAGGGTGGGACGCACTTCGTGGCTTTGTCGCCAAAGCGGTGGTGCTACCAGCAAACTCCAGTACTCTCAAGCGTGCGCGACGATCGACGAGGGCGAGAAAAGAGGCGAGGGCGTCTCGGCCGTGGCTTTTCCAGCGTTGCAAGTGACTGCGCGATGCGCAGGACTTCGTCGCACAGGGCTCTGAATTCCGTGAAGGAAACCGGGTTCATTACTTCGTTAGAGGCTGGAAGCGCTTGAACCGAGCTGTCGATGGCAGAGATGCTGGGTGACGCAACTTCCACTACCCTATCCGCCAGGGCAGCGAGATCGTCAAGCACATTGCCTCCGGCACCCAACAACACCATGCACACATTAGCTGGTAGGCGCTGCAAAAACAACTGCCGAAGGAGCAAGTCGTCGACAGTCGAAGCTTTCTCCCCGAGCAGCCGGCGCATCCCGCAGAGTAACTGGGACGGTTTTCGGTCCCCCAGGTCCTCCGCAGTCAGGAGCTGTTGCAGGCGCTTCTGCTCGGAGAGGGTGGTCCGGCGGACGAGCTCGAGTTTCAGCCGGTCGAATGGCTGGTCGGCCGGGGGAGAGACTATGATGCCGCGCACCTCCGCCACTTCCCTTGGGTTGAGGGCGGCGATTACGTAGTGAAATTTTTTTTATTGGGAGGTTATTTCTCTCTTCGCCAATTGGGCTTCAACTTGCGCGAACCAGAGGGCTGGGTCCGTCGGCCAGAAGCACGGAAGTTTGAGAGCGACGGTGGAGACGGTGAGGGAATGCGGTGCCTGGGCGGCCGCGTCAGCCGTGGAACCGTTGGTGGAAGTCATGTTTGCTCACCGGAGCTTGCTTGGGATCGTGTGACCGAGGTATGCTGTCCGGAACTCCGGGTCACCAATTATGTAGTGGAGATGTCCGGTACATAAGACTATTTATTATACTTTACGACACAAGTTACAGCAATACATGACCGCGTTGGCCCCAGTGCGGGCGTGTCTCTCTGATCCCGAAAGTGTAACTCGAAGCTGTTTACTCAAACGCCCGGGCCCTCCGGCGGCATACCTCAACAGGCTCTCGTTGCCAGACGCCGAAGGCGAAACCGAAACTAAACGTGTGGCAAAACCGCAATTATGCCTACAGGCATAATTAAACACTTTGTTCTCTGGAGACACGTTTTCTAGCTGGTTGTGCCAATTCAAATTCCGGTACTCAGCGAGGCGTATGGTGCTTCCTTTATTAGTCAGGCTTACTTGCAAGCGGCAAAACATGCGGGCATAAACGATCATTCTTAAGAGATAGGTGCAAAGCACCCTAGTAAAATGTATTACCTGATTCAATCAGTCGAAAGTTTTCGCTTCCTGCCCGTCGCCTGCTGGTGCTGAGGATTAAGCTTTGACCAAATCCAGAATCTCTGTCGTCAACGCCGGTGGGTCAAATGAGCGTGTATATAAGTTCAATCTTCAACAATAGGAGGCCAAAGGAATGCCAGGCTTGGGAAGAAACTTGATAAAAAAAACGGGGCTGAGCCTGCGTCGACAGAAATGCGTATAAAAAAAAGTGCGACTGAAATGACCAGCGATTTCGATTTACACAGAGAGGTCACCCTCTTTGTATGATAGGGGTTCTGTAGACATTCTCTTCCGCTACTAACAAACAAAAGTGACAATAAAAGAAAAATAACTGGGAAACTTGTTTAAAGATTCTAGAAAAATCTAAAAAGTCGAGTTTTTGCAATAGGCAGTCCCCCCAATTTGTTTTCCCAATAAATCCGAAACCGCACTATTTACACCAGCGAGTATTTTTAGGGATTTATCAGATTTACCGAAAGCAGATCAATTTTATTTGCAAAAAAAAAAAAAAAAAAAAATTAAAAAGGCGTTATGAACTAGTTTTTTTTTTTTTTAAAGAAAGAAATGTCGTCTTTGGCGAAATGGGAATTATCCTCGTTCGAGGTGTCACAGCCGTCCGTATCAATTATTTGATCATAACATTGAACCTCTCTGCAGAGCCTCAAGCCATAGATAGACTCGCCCTCGAGCATTTTCTGTAATGTGTGGTTGGTCTTCGTCCGATGAATGTCGTCGTAAAAACAAACCGTTAAAGTTTTCTGCCTTCTTGCCGGAAGTCCAAACTCGTTCGCAAAGTGCGGTGGTACGACTTCCGGCTGGGGAAGCTGAGCGTGTCAAAACAGGGAAGTTGCTTTCTGGTTAGATCTCGTCACTTCCTGTTGGTTACCATTTTCCGACAAGTGAGAACTCGCGATTTTGTTTACTTGCTGTTCCTCCCGGTCATTGGGGGAAATACGGCCGCAAGCGCGAGCACATAACTTTGGCAGCTTGTTCAATCTAGTGCAATATATTTTCCTTCCGGGATGTCCATTGGCAGCACGCGACACCAAAACAGTGCGCGGCACTTCGCATTGGCAGCAAGTTGGTGATGCATAACAATGGCGGCTTGAGGGTCACGTTGTGCTCGGACGCGGCGTCTTCTCTTTCACTCGGACTCGAACGCGGTAAGAGACGGCACATCCGTCTCTTACCGCGTCCTTTTTTCTCGATCTCAAGCCGAAGTAAATATTTCGTTCCTTAATATTGGAAAACCTATTTATTTCCAACGTTGCGATGTTTGTGCCCTGAATTGATTCAACCCGCAGGACTTGCTCGAAGTTCAGATTTAATAGTGTCTTCGCAGTGTAACTCAACGCCAGGTTTTTTTGTTTTTTTTTGTATCTGTACCTACAAAGTGTTTGTGCGTTCGATGACGGTATTGCGTCTACTACAGGATGATATTCATCAGTTTGAGTAATTGATAAAAGCTCTATGAGAATTATTTTTCGTTTTTCTTTTTATCAGTTTGCATTTCACTCGCTGGAGTATTGAACTCGGCTTCATGAAAATGGGATGATAGCGGCTCTTTTCTTCAGCGCATAAGAACTATGTGTTTTTAACTTTCATCTATAATGTAAAAGAAATTATCGCCGACCGTGCTCCCCAAGATTTTGCGTAGCGGGATCTTCAAGTAAGCTGACGGAAATTAGAAACAACTGAGGCCATTATTGCTGTCATTCCACTGCCACACACAATACGCACGCGATATGACACTGGTACGAGCCACATCACTTCGCCACCCACCGTCTTTCCGCACGCTTCTAAGAACCCATTCTATGCAAGGTCGATAATTCTTAATTAGCCGCCTCATGCCGCGTGTGACGAGGATAGTATAAAATATGGTTAAAGAAGCACGATGAAATAATATTTGCGTAGGTGTCACTTGGTGCCCTGTATAATTATGGACATCTTTATCATCAAGGTCTTTCTTTTTTCAGCATACTGTGCATCACATCTAGTGTAATTGTGGATAAAGGCTCCCGGTCCAAACTATAATCCCCTCGTATTTCATGGCATTTAGAACTTTTGGGCCGGCACCTTTTCTCCTTGGATCTCCGACTCCTGGAGCTGTTCGACGAGCCACAAAAGTTCGTGGGCAGGATCTGTGGAATTCAGCAGCAGCCACCTGCAGGGAAGCATGTGCAACGCATTAGCCAGACAGGTCTTGTCGCTTCCGAATTCAAGCATCAAAGGTTCTCTCTACGACATTTGCATGCGTCTGGAAGGCGAAAGGTAAACTTTTGACAGAGTGGATGACGCTATCCCCCATACCCTTTTCCACGAAGGATTTTGATGACAAGTCAGGAAGTGCATTTATAATAATATAGGCAAATATACATTTTCTTGCTACAGCGTTTACACTAACGCGTCAAACCCACTCTAGACTATAAGCTATAATTCATTTAAAAACATATTGTGCTGCAATTTAGTACATAGGTCCGGTTGAAAGGTGTAAAGTGAAAGTGAAAATATCCACGAATGAACCTAACTTGTTTCCCAAAAACAAAAAAAAAAAGACAAAAAAAAAACAACATAGGTTACCGTTTTGAGCAATCTACGGGATTATTTGCAGACTACAGTGGCGATGCGCAATCTGTCGGCGGCGTGTACTGCCGACAGATTGCGCAATGTGGGAGAGCATAAGGTACGAAAGGATGCGTCGTCTTAACCGATCATCTCTCTACAAAATAATTGGTAGGACCGAAGTGGCTAGATACATGTTTTCTCATAAAATTCATTCAAATGCAAGTATGGCGCTTTGAAAATTTGAATCAGAACATTTTCAACATAAATATGTCTGGGCGGAGGAAGTTAACTCTAAAAAGGAAGTATTTCAGCGAAAATTTCAAAAAAAGGTTCAGACCAACGTTTCAAAACCTGCTCGTTTTCTTCATCACGGTGGACTAAATCGCGTGGAGCAACACCAGCTTTCATATTCTCAGTCGATAATAACTAGAAATGTGTTTATTTTTTATAAAAAGTGTTTCTTGGTAATTGCCATCGTGAGGCGGCGCAATCCATTAACATACACCAATGGCGAAGATCCCGGAGATGTATTCATGTCCTGGCGTGTGCTGAACGAGCCAAGATTTCACACATTCAGTAGACGCCCGGAAAACTAAACAGGTCCCTGCGTACTTTGCCATCGGCGTATGTCTATGAATTCCCCCACCTGACAAAAGCATTTAAAAAGAAACCATCTGTATAGAAAATTAAGATATTTCGAGTTATAATGAACTAAGAAGAAGATAAAAACTGCTGCTACTCCACGCGGTTTAGCAATCACTCATAAAGAAACAGAGCAAGTTTTCAAATGTTGAGCTGAACCTTTTAGGAATTTTGGTTGGAGTATATATTTTTTTTTTTTTAAATCAAGCTTTGAAAAGTTTACATTAGAAAGACGTGCGCCGCACTGAGGAAACTGTTATTGTATCACCATACCAACTATACCAGCTCACCACCCTTCTGTAGTTAAAACTTTCGGGAGGTCGCCTGCGAAACTCGGCGCTTGCGCACACTCGACTCTTCCTATATCTGTCGGCAGCATTTTGCAGGCAACACGCACCGTCTACGAATGCCGCCGTAAACCGCCCTAAACAGGCCCTTCTTTTTTTTCCATTGAATGACGTAGGTTAAGCTCTTGGTATTTTCAAAACAATCTTCCACCACCTTTACCCACCTCTGCAGCAAATTACAGCGTGATACATCATAAAGTCGACTTTTGCGGACGTCTCAAGTGGGTTCGAACATTTAGTGTGCTCAAACCAGTCTTGTACACGTTACTAAAAAAAAGTAATCGATTACAATTACTATTACTCTTGGCTAAAAAGTATTCGATTATATTACTTGATTACTTGACGGCAAAAGTAATTGGACATTACTTAAAGAAGTAATCGTTACTTTTCCGATTACTTTATTGTGTGAAGACACATCTTTAGCGCTCATAACAATGAACTACTTCCAACCTATATTTCACATTTGCACAAGTATTGAAGAAGAAAAACTGGCTCCCTCTTCGTGGTCGTTGCATCTTCACAATGCGGACGCAAGCATAGAATTCGTCTGAAGACGTTTAATGATTTGGGCGTTCGCCAGTGTGTGTGTGTGTGTGGGGGGGGGGGGGGGGGTCGAGCGGAGGGGGTTCTAGATCTTGTTAAGCTTGAGCAAGGGTTGTCGCTCAAAGTTTGCGTCGCTCATTTTATTATTCACATGTGGATGAGCTGGCATGTTATACAAAATGGCAGCAGCTCCAGGATTTGAAACGGATCATGTGTAGTATCCATTAGCGGAAGAGATCGCCCCGACCACTTCTCAACACGAAACATTGCTTGTCACAAAGACCCCGTAGGGGAAATGGGGAAATATTTCAACTGCCTTTGTTATATTTTGCATCCGCTTTAGGCATTTTTCGGTTCTGGTTCTCCTACGGGCCGCGAGTAGGTACCCTAAGCAGGATTTTTATTTTTATTTCTGTGTGTATGTGCGTGAGGGGGCTAGTTTGAACGAAGGACTCACAAAGCTACATTCTGCTTCCTCAAACTTCGCCCTGAATGGCCTTCATCACGCACTGTGGCTTCCCTGGGGCTTTCCAATCCCAATCCCAGCTCAAAAAAAAAAAAAAAAAAAAAAAAAAAAAAAAACCGGACAGTTCACAGAAACTGTACATAGAAAGAAATTGACCTCGTTTCCTACAGCTCCGCAAAAATCTTTCTTTTTTCCGTTCGAAAAAAAAAAAAAAGAAGCAAATTTTATTTTTGTCATTTCATAAAAAAAAGGCGTGTGCCCGAAAAGGGGGGGGGGGGGGGGTCCCGTGGACAAATTGTAACGGTTAAAAGTAATTTGATTACTTCAAAAAGTAATCAGATTACTCTTGTGATTACTGCCTAATAAAAGTAATCAACTGATTACAAAATTACTCCAAAAAGTAATCGATTACAAGTAATTTGATTACTTGTAATGCGTACGGTACCAGTCTGGCTCAAACTTACCTGTTGTGACCAAACTTAAACCAGATATGTACGGTTGCCAGCACGCTGATTTATATGAGAAGCCTGATGTTTGTGCTTTCCGCAAGAAAACAAACAAGACAACAGTTTTGCAATGTGGAATCACCTACCCGGAACAACAAGCATGGTATTCGATATCCTAAATTTTTGGAAGTGTCATGCGTAATTTATTTTAACAGTTTTGGAAGCTTAATTAACTGCAGTCGCACTTGCACATTTTGTTGTACTTCCATTTTTTCGTGTAACTCGCTCCTAACTGTAATGTCTCTGGCTCAGACAGTAAACAAAGAAACTAGCAAACAAACAAAATACGGAAGTAACATCTGAATACATAAATAAGTAGAAAGGAATGTCTAAATTTTATGAGATTGGAGGTCTACAACGTAAAGGACATGTTCAGTTAAGCTTGTTTTCACGGTGAATTACTGCCTTAAAAAGAAAGAGCGGTAGTATTAAAAGAATGTGCACCTTTTTTCATGACATAACTTGGTCGTACATGGCATATCGCGATCAAAAAGTTCATAATATACGTGATAAAAATAAAGAAAATTTAGGTATTTTGTTTTTCTACATAGCAGTTTTTGAAAAACAAGGGAACCAAAACGAGATACAAGTAGTGCACAAGGTGTCGTTCGTAGAAACTAAAACTACGAGTGGAAACCCCCGCAACATGCCAGTTCAGACTGTTGCAGTAGTTCATGTTCAAAGAAGCAATCTTGAGTCCAGGGAAAGCTTTGGTAGCGTAGAAACCTCCTCTGAAATAAGAACACGTTCATTAAAACTTGCACACCCACACAAGACTAAGTTTGAACAATAACGTCTCTTTCAGCGTCGAAACATTATTTGATCACTGAAATGCCTACATTTTGGTATTTTTATTGTGAAAAAATAGTTTCCCTCGAAAATTGAAAGAGGGCATGAGTAAACAGAACTGTCAACCGACTGATGAAAGGGCCATCAAGCGATTTCTTTTGTTTCACTAAATACTTCTCTGAATGAATCCTTCACGTTGACAAGATTAAAAAAAAACAAAAAAACACATTAGTCTATCTCTCAAGCCACTAGCACTCGCAACAGAGAAAATGATTTAAAAAATACGGGTTCTGTTTGTCCCCTCAACTTGCAGCCAGAACATGCGACACGCGATCTAGTAAATATGGCATGCGTTTACGTTTTCTTTAATCCTAGCAATGTTTTGTGGTTGGCAATGCGCATGGCACATGCTGTGATCCGGGCATAGCAAGAGTTAGGCTATTCCGGACATGGAGGTGCTTGTACGCGCGTCTCAGCCGGAGTGCTTATGCAGCGCGTGTAATTGTAGCCGAAACCAAGCCGAGGGCTCATGCAATGCGTGCTCCAAGGCAACTCATGAGAGCTATTCAACTGTGGACCTGAGGTTATTCCCGATACTACACAACATAGCGATCCCTACGACTATGTTATGTAATTTTTCGAAAAGGAAACGTTCGCGTCCATAAAGTGCGTTTCCGAAAGAAGTTCGCATTCCGAAGAACGATGCTAATGTCCTATCCTATGTGAAGCGAGCGAGCTGGTGGCGTCGCCTCCGTCGCCCAAAGTTATGTCACATGTTATTCTTGGGGTCAACCTTATTTTTTTTTTTTTTTGCATGAATTCCCAACAGTCGGGGTGAGCTCATCAGCACTGTTTCGAAGTTTGTTCTGACAAGCATTTATTATCAACAGTATTACATTTTATCAACTAGAGATGAACCCAAGATTACTGCATCCCACTATGCTGGTTGTTTGGTTTTTAAACCTTTTCGCTGACTGAAGCAAATGGGAAGTACCGGCGATTGCTCGTTAGTGCGAGATTTGTCGCGCCTTGTGTCGTACAATTACCGATTTTCGTGCACCACATATGCTGATAATCAACTCTATTGGTCATCGTTATCGCAGATCTTGCACTCGTCCGTAAAACAATTTGATTCTTCCGAAAACCGGCTTTGATGTCGACATTCAATAGCTTCTTTCAAAAACGATCAAGTACATAGAGTTATCGTGTTTGGCGTTCTCTGGTTTTGTTGTATTTAAAGATCCACAATTGCACAGTGCAGAAAACACTAGATTCAAGAGCCACGCTTGATTGCCATTGAAGTTGTAACCCGAATTGCGCTGTTTTGATGACGTTGATGAATCTGCTACGGAACACGCGCATGCCCGCCAAAGTCTAACGGAAATAAACAGCGAAGGAAAGGTGCAAACGACACAAGCGCTGTTTATTTCCGTTACCAAGAACCAACTCGCCTACATCACGACACTATTCCGCCAAATTGAATTTGAACCTTTTGGAATTTCTCCTAGCTGTCTACTGCCTTACATCGTCTCTAGAAAAGGCTCATATATATGTCTCCCGCAGTTTAAAGCACATGTAACACGAACTGCAGAGTGAAAATCGCAACTCGCAACTACGCACACGTCGCAACCAAGTCGAGCAGCACCGTCCATACTTCGTTTCAGCTTGAATTACGTAGCGGTCGCTACGTGGTTAAGGGACCAATCAAGCAAGTCAGAAGAGCAAGTCACTAGGCCTTTTGCGTTTCTGAGTGGTTGACCTGTGATAGAGCACGTACAGACACATGCTGAACACCACGATAGTGCGTTTGTGACGCCGTCTGATTGGTGCCCTCAGCTGGTAGCGTCGGCTGCGTCTAGACTTTGGGTGAAACGAAGTATAATAAGGTTTGAGTGAAAACCTGCATAACTTCACATGTGGCAAGTTTTTTTATTTTTATTACGGAATAAAACTACGCGGTATGTATCTTAATTGATCTGGGAAGGCGTATAAATTGCATGACTTTGCAATATCTAGCTCGATCCGAGGCATTTTCAAGGCGGTGGCAAGTACCCGAGTCACGACAAAACCTATCGGCTTGCCACTAGAGGCATCCTGTTCGGCGCTCGAGTTACGTCCTCTCGTTTCTACTGCCAAAGCGCACATTCAAGGGAATTAAGAACGTTCTGTAGAATTAGAGCCCCTCGTTTTCGGGTTTTCCACTTTTCTGAAATGGGGGGGGGGGGGGGGGGGGGCAAAAGCGAGCGGTATTTTTCAAGCTCGTAAGAGGGAAGCAATCGAGTTTTTCTAGAAATTAACGCGGAACTCCTTCCGTTTCGGGTAATATTTAAAATTTCATAACTATAATTGACCATGGTATTGATCGGTTTTAGTACATTGAAGGTTTCATGTCCACTAACGAGCGAATAATGTAGTTGAACTCATTATGCTGCGCGTAATGTTATACTGCCAGATGCTCGTCAGCTCCATTGGGCGTCCGGTGAATTACTGTTTATAACAATTTAGCCAGTGCCGTAAAGCCGCCAGCCTGTGGGTCTTTAACGTTCACCACGCACTAGTGATACAAGGCTGCACGCCGGTACGATGCTCATTCACATCGAAACGGGGAGGGGTTGGGGTTAAACCTAGAATCCCTGGGTTCTGCAGCGCGAGCGTTCGCTCCAGGTGCTGTGCTCTAGTGTGTGCGCTAGCCCACTCAGCCGCCTATCCCCCTAGTTGATGTCCAGAGGATCGGGTTTCGGACATTTATATTTTTTTCATATTTCTCTTGACATACACAATCATATGCATGAGCAGAATTTCTATCCCTATGGTAGACATGTCCAGTTTTCAAACTTATCATAACTGAGATAACGTTTTCACAACATCAAAGCTGCATTTTGCAACGCGCAAAACATCAACACAATATCTGGTAGTCTGAGAAAGCGTTTTCTCATTAAAATTGCCTTCGCGACAATATTTTTAGAAGTATTGCTTGTAGAGTTGTGGGCACTTTGCGCTTGGCGACACGTTGCCTAACCCGCCTAGAGAACGAGGTTTGTTTCAATTTAATTCACGCATTAGGTTTCAGACTGCCTTGAAATGCCTTTCGACGCAAGCTTAATTCGGTTGGTGCGAATTCCCTTGCTAATTCGCAGCTGCGACGTCGGTCAGCGAAGCTTCCCCCAGGCCTGCAACGAAGCAGCGAAAAAAAAAAACTGAAAGACTTTTACAATTCCCTGGAACGTCGATTTAGAGCGCAGTTCTAATTCTGCGAATTGTTCTAACCAACCTCAGCTGGGAAATTTTGCGCTAAATTTAGCGGAGAAATTTTCTGCTAAATTTAGCGGGACATTTTTCTCTAAGTTTAGCGGGGAATTTTTTACTCTAATTTTAGTGGGGAATTTCTTTCGGTAAATTTAGCGGGGAATTTTTTTTCCGCGAAATTTAGCGGGGAAATTATTTCCGCTAAAATTGGCGGGAAAATTGTTTCCGCTAAATTTGGCGGGGAAAATTTTCGGCGGGGAAATTTGCTTGTAAGGCACCGCGCGGTTACGCTAGCGGCGACGCCGACGCCGCTCAAGCCGGAAACGGGCGAATAAGAGCTGCGCTCTAAAAACGCAGCTCCGTTTCTTATTGATGCCATTCTGGTCCTTGCAGGCGCGTTCGTGCAGGCGTTTGGCAACGCATGGTGTTGGCGCTCAAAGTCCATTTTAGGGTCTCCTTAACCTGAAACAAGGTGCCCGTTGGGAGGAGGCTCTCTTCGATAAATCTTGTTTTCCCAAACGCACGCCTGGCGTATGTTGCCGGCGGGACTGACCGCTTAAGAGTGATGGCCGTGGATTCCGGCAGCCAGTGGCTCCACTTCTCGACCAGAGCGTCGTAGAGCCAGGAGATGGACATGTTCCCCTTTACTTCCGGCACCGGGAAGCTGAGGGAAGGACACAAGACCGCTCCGGTGAGGGCACTGTCTACGACTTTCTCAGATGGATGCAAAGTAAATGTTCTTTTTAGAAAGAGGGTTTAGCTGCAAAGCACCAAAACACTCGGTGTTTTAACATGAAATATGTGTATTGGATGGATTTCATATAACATACGTCAGTCCCGAATGTGACCAAAAAGCTTCACACGCAGGCGAAGGAATCTTAAAGAATACTGATCCCAAAGCAAGCAGTGCATCAGCATCCAAACATAAGTAATTCTCAGCCCTAATTCGCAACTTCCACTGCCTATACGGGGCGCACTGGTGCCAATCGAAAGGGTTGTCATCTTAATGATCGTCGTAGAACCGCCTTGCGAGGTTGGGTCTGCGACGGGTAATTCTAGTTTTGCTAATGCGAGCAGTATTAAAACCTTACTTTATTTTTTTCACGTCAGGAAGGTGTAGGCAAGGACCTTTATTGTGAGGCCGATCGTCCAGGAGCTAGAGAACGCGACTCTCATACCGCGGTACAACCACCACCGAAAGTTGCGAATTGAACATACATAATCATAGTTAGGTTTAAATATTGGTAACAAACGACATTTACCACGCCGCTCTACAGGAATCAAACCCCAGACCGTATGAGATGTAGCCCGATGTTTCTGGTTAGCGCCACAAGAAGGAATTGAAAGAGAGCGCAAACAGCGGGAAAAGTTCAATCCGCGGGAGCCTGCTTAGCAGGTTACCGTCGGAGCACGCAAGTGGGCTTCGAATGGCAAAGCGTAGCTCGCCACGTAATGTTGGTCATACGTCAGAGTCACGAATGATTAACACAGGCTCATAGGACATCTCTGCCTTACACACACACTCGCACAATGGCCACGCTTTTTGTTTTCTTTTTCTTTTCTCTCTCTGCTCATGGCAACGCACGTGTTATATTGAAATTTTTACTGCAATGTAGATGTCAATATTCACAAAGTTTCCGTTTTTTTTTAGATTAATCTATCAGACTGGCGCATGTGACATCCCGTTTGAAAGCGTGATCTTCCCCTTATCACGCGATTGCTATATTCGTATTTCACGAAATGTTGATCGCAGCGAGATAGCCCCGTTAAGCACGCTTCTTACCGAGCAGTGCTGCACTGCGCAGAAATAGCACCCATGAAACTAGCTTTCGTGGGTGTTGCTTCTACGTGATGCATCCGTGCTCGGTAAAAAGCGAACTCAACGGGGCCCCGCGCCGAGGTGAACACCTGGAAATATACAAATACCGCAGCTGATATGTACGCAGATATCGAATAGCGTATTTTTCGAAACTACTATTCGAAAATTGAACTGTTGGAACAATCCTAAATTAAAAAATACTCCCCACAGATTCAACTCCAGAATGAATTTAAATTCTGATTAGTACGCCTTAGTGCGTCCACCCGAAGCTTCCCGTAACTAACCGTAACCCGCGCGTAATGCACGCATGACGCATACTGCGCTCCACAGGTTCATTTCAATCACCAATAACAGTTTAAACTCTTCTCAGTTTATTGCCGCTTTCTGATTTTCAAAAGAGCGCTGCAACATCATCACAATATTTTTACAAGTTTGTGGAGGTTTAGCGAAAGAAAAAGAAACCAGAATAATTGGGCAGTTTTAACTGTGAGACCTACAAGTATAAAAATAATGTAGAATTAGAATGTTGTTACTTTTTTTACTTGTAAATAAAGTGCATATCCGACATATAGGTCACACTCATTGACTGCAAGAATTATATCCGAAAATCGCGCTGTATAAATTCATAAAGAATTTAAAATATGGATGGTCGGCAGGGAGGCATATTGCACTGACACTGAAACTCATGATCCACATGCGTAACCAATGCTCCATAGGGTTCTGAAGAGAAAAACGAATAACAAGTTTACCTCCAAGACATCGAACAGCTGGCGCGTGTTGCAGTCTACAGGAAATACCAGACGGGCAATGTCAACAAGCGCTTGGTCATTTCTAGAGATTCCTAGACTGGAAGAAAGGGGCGGCAATTCGACGCGCCTGCCCACCTGTCGGAAGGTTCCCCCTCGTGGTTCCCAAGGGCTGGAAAAACGGTCACACCGCTGGGGTCCAAGTACTTGGCCAGCGTCTTCGTGGTGTAGTCTATGACGGCCAGGTTGCTCTCTCGGGAAGTGTTCCAGTAGTCATGGGCCACACTGTCCCCCGTCCAGATCACGTAGTCAATCTGGGCGTGGGTCAAAATCATCAGGTTGGCACTCCTCATCATTACGCGTTTTTTGAACCGGTCTGATATTTAGCGCGCAAGCGATTCCAAGAGATCACCCCTCATCGTCTAAAAAAGATATGGCTGCACATAAGCAAACAAAGCTTTCCGACGTTCTAAAAGTGAAGCGTGGGAACACGAAATGAGATGGTTGACTGTAACTGAAAGAATGAGAGGTCATTTTTGTCAGATGGGTGGCCGCCAGCAGGCGCTCGTTGCCTTCCGCCGTGCTGCGCGTGTATGCTTGGAGCCCATCCGAAGCATAATGGAAAGTCTCGCGCTCGAGGCAAGACCAGTGAACAGCTCCGTGCCGTTCTTATCCTGTTAGTGACCAAATATCAGTTGCAATCACCGATTTTAGGGTGTCAAACCTTATGTTGTGTCGTGATGTATAAATCCCGAGAATGTGAAGGAAGACAAAGACGATGAAAACAAAATATGTTGACAGACAGCGTCTCAAGAGCCGCTATCTGTCGATTTTGTTACTTTCTACTTTACCTTTCCTTCCCAGTCTCGAAGTTCAGACATCTTGAATAATACGCACCAGCTCGCCTGCACTTCGGCATTTTTTTTTTAGTTTCGTAAATGTAAACGAAGACGTTGTTTTCTTTAACGAAGTTTCGTAACATAAGACATTAGCTTCTTCAACCGCGGAATATTAGTTCCGTCATTTTGAGGAAAACGAGCATGATCACTTCTTTAACAATTAGAAGGCGTGTTTCAGCATAGCAACGCAGCTGCACCTCCAACGAATGGAACAATGCATACAACTGAACACTTTACACCGGGCGGCGGTTTGCTCCATTTAGCTGGTATTTTGTAACATCGAAAGTTAACCTATACCCAACATGCAATACATTTACGGCAATATCGTTAACAAAATTGAATGCTGCCGCCTGGGCATGCCAGCGTTGCTCGCCTTTTGGCAGTCCCGGATGTGCTTGAGCATGTTCTCAAAGGTCCTGGGCGGGATGTCGCAGTGCCTGAAGTAGCCCCAGTGTCCGGCGGCCACGTGTTCAGGCCCGCGGGGCCTACCGTCGTTGGCGCGGCAACACAGGGGCTCCTCGCAGTTGGCCAAAGAGCCCTCCTCGTAACCCATGTCCACGTGCGTGTCGCTCAGGTGCAGCACCCGCAACGTTGGGCAGCCGCTCTGCAGAGGAAAAGGGGAGCAAGGACGGGTTTTAGTGACAACCTGTGTGTAGGCACCGACAGGCTGGTTCTCACATTTGCGTTTGCCTGTGACCAACCGGGTTGTGATCTCTCGTGATCGGTTTCAACGAAAAGACACACCACAGATCAGTGGAGCACATCGGCACACTGGCGTCGTCTGTCGGGCATTCGGGAACAACGTAGACCTGAACCACAGTGTAAGAGATATACAGCTGTGGATACCGCGCGCGTCTGAGCTTACGGATGAAGATCTCTCTTCGTCTTGGTAGCAAGTGGCAGCACCGGATGACTCCTCGATATGTGGCTAATGGCAGCCTATCGCGTGCCCGATTTTTCAAGCCTCTCTACGGGAAAGGTGCTTGCTTTTGAAGTCGTTCTTTGGGTGCGCCACGTCATATCCAAATTGGCACAAGGGTTAGGTGTTTTGGTTAGACACTGCTTCATCATAAACTCCAGATTCACGCCTCAATGGCGGAAGTAATAGCTTTACAAACGCGTTAAAGAAGAGATCTGTGGCGTGTTTTTCAATCCACTGTCCGTCAAGGTCAGGGGAGACGCTCCGAGTGGAAAAATGGCGCTCCCGGCTGCCACGGAAAAGATACACTTTTTTTTTTTTTTTTTTTCAGTTTCGCCTTTTGGGTAGCGAAGACTTTGTCGGCTAAGGCAGAGCCATGTACATGGCTTGCACTGACATCACATCGCATGCTTTCGACCACAATGTAAGAAGAGGAGAGGGAAGCTGCTATTGTAAGAATTTTGAGTATTGGGTTAATCTTCTATAACCTTCTTGGAACAGAATAGCGACGTCCGTGCAAATCCGGGAGGCACAAAAGAGGACACTGGTAAGAGGGGAGATCCTTCTTCTCCCCTTCTATGGTGGTCATCAGACCGCTCTTTGAATGACGTGACGTGCAAGCCATGTGTATGTAGAGGGTGTGGTATTTGATTCGTAAGAATAGGGCCACAGAAGGGCATGTTATTGGCCGAAATGGTTTCAATGACCTTGGGCGCTCTGATTGACAGCTCTTGAGACAAACTCCTAGCCACGAATGTTGACCCAGCGGAGGCAACGAGCTTAGCAAATACCCTCCAATAAAAATTTTTCGATAAGGATGTATTCAAATATTTTATTTCAGCACGCAAATGTTGAAATGTGTGACTCTCCGTAACTTAAAGGTCAAAGTGCGTGACGCTGACGTCACAGACACATTCAGAATGCACTCTGTCTCTCTTTCGATTGCAGGCGCAAACCGAGGCTTAAACAAAGTTAAAACAACGGCTAAAACCGTGGACACGATTCCGCGTTCTAAGAACATAAAGTTCGCACCCTATGTTCGCAGTTTCGCCACATCTTTCAGAAAACGTTTCCCGTCAATGTCACAATTTCTGACTCAGGAAACGCACTCAGAACCTTTGATGGTTACTCTTTCCCCCAATCTCTTGCAATTACCCAATTATGCAATTTGAGCCTCATGCAGAAACAAAAAATACCTGCGCCGCGGTGCTCGGCTCTTTCAAGGTCTTCCGACTTTAGTTTACTTCGCAGGATCATCACGTGGGGAATATGCGGCGCTGGCGGCGGCGACGTTTTCGACGCTATAGCCCGGCTCCCGCAGGCTCGTCTCACAACACAAGCATGGCTCTGGGCTGAGGTTACTTTGGCGCGTGCCAATAGCTAGAACTCTACCTGGCTGATAGCTGTCTTGGCGTTTGCCGTGCTTGCGTCATCTCCTATATATAGGGTGTCTCAAGCGGGCGTTTCGCAGTAAAACGAGAGGCGAAATTGGCGTCTGCACGCAGAAAGCTCAATGTTTCAGCGAATGTGAGCTGACCAGGTTAGTCTTACCTCGTAATATCTCAAGGCGTAGCACTCTTTTTGCAAAAAACTAAGAGAAAAATACTTGCAAAGTTCATGTTAGGCCCCTGTGCAGACGACCGAGTTACCGATGCTATTTCCTTGTGGCGCCATCGCCCGATAGGTTCTGCGAGCAGACGTTTAGAAAAAGCGAACCACGCATTGAGATTTCACTGGATAAGACTTTTGACCTGCTCAGTGCAGATTCGGTGGAAGTTTGGGCTTTCCATCTGCAGGCGCCAATTTCGTAGACTTGTTTTACACGGAGAGTTTACTGGGGCCACCCCATTATCTTGCACTGAGAACTAAACCGAAGGTTCTCCAGTTAGTCCGAGATCAAATTTACTCGCTATTTATTTGACACTGTGGACTTTAACATCGTTAAATTGTATTTCATGCCCCAAGTAAGAAATGGTAAGTAAAAAATTAGGAACGAAATTGAGAAAGAAAGCGTTCCAATGGCTCCCCGATAGATGGCGCCGCTGCGGTCTCTTATTGTAAGCGGTCACGAGAGATGACAACGGTCTCAGTCAAGCACCATTGTGGAAAGCTTCCCTCGAAAAACTCGGGGCGTAGCGAGCATCTTATTACCACTCCCAATGACAACGATTGTGGCACCAGCCTCGAAGTACGCCCAAGAACGAACCGCACCTGAAAATAAGAAGCCACATCATGTGCTCCTTGAGTTGTCAGAGGCTAGAGTTGGACGAGTCGCTGCATAATAACGAGAAATAGAGCAAAAAAGAATATACGGACAGGTAGAAAATACACAAGAACAAAGAGTTGAGTCTGCCTTTCTGTCTTGTTTTGTCTTTTACTCGTTCTTGTCTTCTTCTTAGCTCTGTACGTTTTTTTCTTATTGAAATGGGATTTAACGTAATGTGCACTGAGAGTTTGGAATCTACACACGAGGACGCCTGCCATGGCTATTAAAACTGCTCGCGCGACAAAAAAGACCCCAAATAAAAGGACAAGTACTAACGCAATCGTTACATAAACCTTCGATCAAGTACAAAACAGCATCGTCCGATCTAGCGTGCCACTACCGGCACAGAATATACGAGCTAAAGTCAGTAAGTTGCAAAAGGCTATTTAGAAAATAACAATTCGATATATCAAACCTAAACCCTTCTTATTTCTCGACATCTCACCTTCGAACGTTGAAATATATATCCCATATATTTACCAGTACCCCAACCCATGCTGCGTAAAATTCTTCGGGCTCCTGTATCAGCCATATGCATACACCATTTTCCAGGTCTTAATCTTTTGGGAAACGCTGGCGGCCAGGGTGAGTTTTTAGCCGACCAAACAAGTGATAATCGCTTGGGGCCAAGTCAGTGCTCTAAGGCTCTTATTCGAGATGTTGTCAGCCAAATTTATCAATCGCCTCCTAGGTTAATCGAGCTCCAGGAGGCCTGGCATTGTGGTCATGGAGGAAGATTCCTGCACTCAATAAGCCTGAACGCTTTCTACAAATCGCTGCCCGATGCTTAAACACAAACTATGTGCGCTGCAATAGCTTCAACAAAGCTAGCATCACTTCGTCGGTGTCCTAAAACACTAATCACCACCTTACCAGCTGAGAGAGCGGCATTGAATTTTTCGGTTAAAGGGAAGGAAGGATGCTTCCACTGAATTGAAGCAAGATTAGTTTCGGGTTGGCAGTGATAAAGCCAATCTTCATTCCCCGTAGTAATAATGTTAAGCATGTCTCTCTCGGCATACCTAAAGTATGGCCAGGTCCACTCGAAGCTTTTTTGGTATTCCTCGGCGAGCTCTCTTGGCACACACCGTGAGCACATTTGTGATAAATTCAGGCGATCATAGAGTGAGGTGTAGGCTAAAACATGACAATAGCCTATTGCAGTTCCTATGATGTCTATTGTTACACTCCTGTCGACTCAAATCATTTCCTGCCCCCACCGCACTGTTGCTCTTTGCGCAATCTCAACAGGACGACCAGTTCGCATCTCATCAACGGCATTCGAGCGCCCCATTTTTTAACCCATTTGTGCTCCGCTTTATACAATAGACACTTCTCACCGTAAGCAGGAAGCATTTTCTTGTCAATATGTTTTGCGTGAAGCCCTATTGTACTCACGTAACGCACAACAGCATGCTGCTCTTCAGAGTAGGCTTCCGGAGCACCATCGCAAATATTAAGCGGAGCTGCGCATGCGTACGACTTTTATCTAGCTACCGCGCAATGAATATCATGAAACTGGATTGTGTTGCCGCCTCTTACCATACAGGGAAACTAGTCACTACTTATACCAGATATTTTATATCCGTTCTTGACTTGCTGGGTTTCCCCCGCACTTCACAAGTTAAAACCCACCAAATAAATTTTATTCGAACGTATATTCCTACACAAAACCAGCGTAATCTATGTCACTTATTTCGGTGAATGTAATAATAGCTAATGTTTATTTTCGTGTCGCCTAATATCCGAAGACTGTGTTTTTAAGATGCAAACACAAGTAAGCGCATGATGAACCAAAATAAAACCATAAATAATTTTTTCTCCCGTAAACAAGGACGTCAAAAATCGTCTAACCGATGGAAAATGCAAATGAATTAGGATAAAATAGTAGCAAGGACCATAACTTAAAAAAAATAATCCCCTGATATTGAATTAACCTGTGAATGGAAAAAAAATCAAATCTGTAGACCACTATAAATATCTCGGCATTGCGTTTAATAAAAACAATTCACTTGGAATCAAGATGCTTATCGAATTGTGAGCAAGGCTGGATGTAAACTTTAACGCTTTGGGGTATTCTTAAATTTTCAGATATCGAGAAAAAGACAACAGCATATAAAACACTAATAGACCAATTCTTGAACACGCACACTCTCGTTGGTTTCCCCACAAAGCAGACGGATTAAGCAGACTTGAATGTATCCAAAAACAGACAAGTAGGTTCATAATCAATGCATTCAGAAGCCGGACGTCTGGGGCGCACTCTCTTAAAGGCGCCAAATTGAAGACGTTGAGAGCTAGGGCCGAAATTCATGCATTAAAATTTCTGTATTCCTTTACCGAGAGCAAATTTAATATTCGCATTGAACAATATATCGTATTTGCATTGATCGGATCGGCAAGAATCAACCACACCAGA